TTTTTTAAAATACATTTAAAGACAGCCCATCAAGGGTGTCCTTAATCATTTCTCCTCCACACTGGCTATTCAGGCTGTGCTCTGAGATAAACTGAGTGCCACTTAAGAACCTGCACAGGGCAATAGGCAGGATTCTTAACTGGGTCAGGTTCTCTGTCGTGATGGGCTAACATAACTGCTGTGTCCCTGTTCTACTCATAGACCTAACATTACCACTCAATCAGTCCAGGTGGTAACACAAGTAAAATTGTGGACACCTAGGAAGTTGTTCTCTTTTGACATGACAGGTCACTTACCCTTTTATCAAGGCCATTTGAAGCAGGTCTCCTTTCTGTGCAAATTTTTGTCTTTCGAGCCAATTCATATAAAATTTTAATTACTCATTTGTTGTTAAGCGCTGTCGAGTCGAGTCCGACTCATAGCGACCCTGTATAGGGTTTTCTGAGGAGTGGCTGGTTAAGGCCTAAAAAATAGATTCTTAAAGATACAGACTTTTCTTCCCTCATCCTGATTAAAGGACTGAAAGAAATCCTAAGAAATGATCTGAACAAGCAGACAATGTGTAGGTAAGTGGTATTACTTTTACATATTTCCAGAAGAGATGCTTAGAAAAGAATGCCTCTTGTTACATCTAGTTCTAACTAGGAGTACAACGTGAGGCCTCTTCTACATTCTATTACTAAGTGGCAACCCTTTCACTGGTTCATCACATCAAATCACATCATGGGCAATCATCACATAACTCCCAAACCACTGGAACCATGGCCCAGCCAAGAGGACATATATTTTGGGGGGCACAATTCAAGTCACGGCATTCTAGGCTTTGGCCCACCAAATTTCATGTCCTTATCACAGGCAAAACATTTTCACCCCACTGTATTATCCCCAAAGTCTTCTAAGTCCAATTCTAACCTGGGTTAAATTGTGAATAGCAGAACAATTTACACTAGCTCTCAAGGCTTGAAAAGAATCCTCTGTTCTCTGAGACAATCTAGGCCGTGCCCTCCTGACTCTGGGTTTTGGCCAAGTACTCTGGATTCTGGGTTGCTGGTGTCGTTAAGTGCCGCTGAGTCGGTTCTGACTCATAGCAACCCTATGCACAACAGAAAGAAACACTGCCTGGTCCTGAGCCAACTTCACAATCGTTGCTATCCCTAAGCCCATCGCTACCAGCAACCCTGAACAGGGTTTCCGAGGCTCCAGTCCATTTTGTTGGAGGTCTTTCTCTTTTTCTCCAATCCTTTATCAAACATAGTATCCTTCTCCAGTGACGGGTCCCTTTTGAAAATATGCCCAAAGTGTGAGAGACAAGTCTGGTCATCCTGGCTTCCAGGAGCACTCTGGCTGTACTGCTTTCAACACTGATGAGTTTGTTTTTTGGCAGTCCATGGTACTTTCAATATTCTCCTCCAACATCATAACTCAAATGCATCGACTCTTCTAAGGTCTTCCTTATTCACTATCCAACTTTCGCATGCATACTAGATTACTGAAAATACCATGGCTTGGGTCAGGTGTACCTTACTTAGTTCTCAGACATCTTTGCTCTTCAACACTTTCAAGAGGTCTTGAAAGCAGATTTGCCTAACGCAGCAAGTCTTTGATTCCTTGACTGCTGCTTCCATGAGTGTTGATGATTGATCAGAGCAAAATGAAGTCTTTGACAACTTCAATCTTTTCTCCATTGATATGGATGTTGCGTATTGGTTCAGTGGTGAGGATTTTTGTTTTCTTTACATTGAGATGTAACCCATACAGAAGGCTGTGGTCTTTGATCTTTATCAGTATTTTAGTCCTCTTGGCTTTCAGTAAGCAAGGTTGCATTATCTGCATATTACAAGTTGTTAATGAGTCTTCCTTCAATCCTGATGCCACATTTTTCTTCATATAATATAGCTTCTCAGATTATTTGCTCAGTATACAGACTGAATAAGCATGGTGGAAGAATACAACCCTGGAACACACCTTTCCTAATTTTAAACCATTTGGTGTTCCCTTGTTCTTTTCAAGCGACTGCCTCTTGGTCTATGTATAGGTTCCTCATGAGTACAACTAGTGTTCTGGAATATTCATACTTTGCAATGTTGTCCATAGCTTGTCATGATCCACACAATAGAAAGCGTTGTATAGTAAAAAAAAAAAGCACAGGTAAACATCTTTCTGGTAGTCTCTGCTTTCAGCCCAGATCTATCTGGTGTCAGCAATGATATCCCTCCTTCCAAGTCCTATTCTGAATCCAGCTTGAACCTCTGGAAGCTCTCTGTCAATGTATGGTTGCAGCTGTTTCTGTATCACCTTTAGTTAAACCTTACTCGCATGAGATATTGTATGATAATTTCTACATTCTGTTGGGTAACCTTTCTTTGGAATGGGCACAAATACAGATCTCTTCCAGTCAAGTTTCTTGGTATAGATGAGTGCCTCCAGTGCCGCCTCACTTTGCTGAAAGATTTCAAACTGTATTTCATCTATTCCTGGTGCCCTGTTCTTTGCCAATGCCTTCAATGCACCTTGGACTTCTTCATTCAGGATCATTGGCTCTTGATCACATGGTATCTCTTGAAATGGCTGAACACTGATCATTTGTTTTTGGTATTGTGACTCTGTGTATCCCTTTTGAAGCTGTGTATCTTCTTTTGAAGCTTTCTGCATCATTCGGACTCATAGTAACCCTGTATAGGGCTTTCGAAGAGCAGCTGGTGTGTGTGAACTGCTGACATTGCAGTTCAAACTGACCTTGTGGTCCAGAGCATTATTATGCAGCGCCACATCGTGAGTCCCTTTAACCTGGGGCTTCAGCTTTGCCTTCCAGGACACTGGAACAGCAACTCTGCCCCCTCAACTTCAGGGGTGGTGGCCCAGTTTCCTAGTCCGCCTGAGTGGTGATCCCTCTCCTTTGGTCCTGGTGTTCTTCTATTCTTCCATCCCCTTGAATATGGCAGCATTGTCCCCTCAGCATAGGGCAGCAAACCCATTTTAACGGTAGCCTCATACTCCAGAACCATGCTGGAGAAGATCCAGCTCTTTGAAACTTAGGAAACTGTGGCCCCACAGTTAGGAACCCAGAAGTCATGGTGCTACCCTTTGAGAGTCCAGAGGTCATGACCCTGTCCTTTGAGACAGAGGCAGCTCTGCTTCCTGTGTTCCTTGTCTCTTCAGCTTCAGCCTTCTGGTTCCTTCATCTGCAGAAGAAGCCAGCCAGGTCTCTGCTCTGCTTCAGTAAGTGCTATAAAACTCTTTAGCTCTACAAACAAATGCCCAGAGGCACTTAAGTTTGCTCAGCGCCCTTGTTCCCTGGGTTGGAGAGCCTAACTCCACCAGGTGCTCAGAAGTACCCTGCTCTGCTAGGAAGCCTCCTGCCTAAAGGTACTCAACTGTGTCTCTGCGGGTCAGCTGCCATGCAGACTGGCATCAGTCTCCTGGTTCTGCTGTTGTTTGGCTGCTGTTGTTTAATGCCATTGCCACCATCTGCAGTTACAGCTCTCCTTACTTCCTACTGAGACCTCACCACAAGTACCTTTGATGCCCATAACTCCACCAACATCTCTTCTAGGCAATCCAGGCATTTACTACTAAGCGGTTTAGTACTCTCCCAGCCTCTCCTCATTGTCCAATTCCAAAAATGCTTCCACATTGTAGGCAACTATTAGAGCAGCACTCCACTCTCCTGGTACAAATTCTGACTTAGTCACCAAGTGCTGTTATAACAAAAATCACACAATGGATAGCTTGAACAAGCAGAAATGTATTCTCTCATAGTTTAGGAGGCTGGAGGTCTGAATTCAGAAAGTTGGCTCTAGAGAACGTTTTTTTTCTTTCAGCATCTGTAGCCCCTGAATTCACTGGAGATCCCCAGGGGTCTTGGCATGAATCTTTCCCTGGACCCAGGTGCTTCCCAGTGCAGGGACCCCAGGTCCAAAGGAGGCACCCCACTCCTGACTCTTCTTTCTTGGGGAACATTAGCTTTAGTCATCCTAGCTTATTTTGTTTCATTACAATGATTACAATCTCCTGCATGCATCATCAAACTACCAAAGGGTACACTCCTCATGCCTGCCCCCCAGCCTCTTCCTCCCTGAGTCTGAAGTCCCCAGCCGCTCCATCTCTCCACATCTTTTAATGCCTGTAAGTAAACCACACCCCAGAAAAACTAAACTCCCTTTCCATCTGCCCAGGGCTGTGATGGGGAATAAGGGTGTTGCACTCTATCCTGAATCCTCTTACTGGTTGATGGCATCAGACCACATGGGGGGACCACCCGTAACTGCCACAGGTGCAGCTTCTAGCAGCATTCCACAATGACTGTACCCTGGCGACTGGACGGTGAGGGTGAACGAGTTTCCACTGGAACTTCCTCCCCATCAGGCCAAAGGTGCCTCAAGGAAGGCCCGCCACTCCCCAGGGCCCCACCAGGTCTCCTATTTTCAAAATTCTGAAAAATCTAAAGAAAATCATACATTTACCTTTTATGGTGATAACTCATAATCTGCTTTTTCTTTGCTCCTGTGTAGAACTGTGTCAAAGTAAATCTGAGAGCTTCACACAAACCGTCCTTTTGTTGTTGTTGTTATGTGCCATGGAGCCGGTTCTGACTCATAGCCACCATGCACAGGGTTTCTGAGGCTGTAAATCTTTATGGAAGCAGAACTCCTTATTTTTCTCCTGCGGAACAGCTGGTAGTTTCTAACTGCTGACCTTGAGGTTCACAGCCCGATTCGTAACCACTATGCTACCAGAGCTCCCTTAGCCATCCGTTAATGGAGCCAAATACAACTTTTTGTAATATGAGCAAGAAAAATGAATGCTTAAAAGTGCTGTTTGGTAGATGTGGTATTTCATACTTGGGAGAGGGAACATGAGGGATGGCGAGGGGCCTTGAAGAGACAGTGAGTAGCTATTTCTCTGTCCTCTCCTGGGACCAGGACATTATGGCATCGGAACTGAAGTGTGCACCCTCCTGATAGCATGAGCGCGTGGAGACTCGGTGGGGATGTACCTACCTGTTCCAGGCGGCATTTGAGCATGGCCCACTCCACGTCCCAGGCAGCCTTGTCATTGGCATACTCCTGCTGCAGCCGCAGCCGAGCCCGCTCATCTGCCCTCAGCTCCACACGGAATTCCTCCAGCAAGGCCCGGAGGGCACTGAACAGCTGCTGGTGCTCCGTTACCTGGGGAGACACAGGAGTCAGATCTCAGCCTCCTGGAAACATGGTCTTCAGTCAGAAGATGAAAGGTTCCTTCGGCCTGTAATAAAGTGGCAATGCTCTGCTTCCTACGGGGACACAAGGTCACCTTATAGATGTCAGTGGCAATGGGTACAGTGTGGGTGGAAATCTGCAGCAAATGCGAGAGTGAGTTGCTTTGTTGGCCTTGAGTCTTCTGATGCTGAGACTGCTGAGGTCTGCACAACTGGGAGGAAGCTAAAGGCAACTGCCACAGCTGCTGGGCACTGTGCTAAAAAGCTTTAACTTTTTGACACCCTGGACAGCAGAGTTCTCTGGATCCCAGGAACAAAGGGGAAGAAAGTGTAGAAGGCCCTAAGGTCCCCATAGCCATGGCTGATAGGCGGCTTGGAGTGACTTCGGAGCCCAGAACTCTGTGGTGGGCTCAGCAAACACACTATGTTGGGTGCTGCAGTAAGGGGCTGTATACACTCACTGAGATGCACTCAGACACTGCCACTTCAGTGCCAGCTGTTAATTCACTTAAGCTCTTACCAACTTACAAATGGAGGTGGTCATAACTCTGTTTTTTACTTGTACTTACTAAAAATACCAAACCAAACCAGTTGCCAATGAGTTAAGCTCAACTCATGGCAACCCCATGTGTGAAAATGTAGAACTATGCTCCACAGGGTTTTCAACAGCTGATTTTTCATAAGTGCAGCCCCAGGCTTTTCTTTCAAGGCATCTCTTGGTAGACTTGAGCCTCCAACCTTTAGCAGCTGAAAGCACTAACCGCCTCATGCAATAAATGTCTGTAACATGGAAGAATGCATTTAAAACTTTTTGTTATAACTAAACTGCTTACGGTGTTTTGTTCTGTTTTGAATAGGATCACTATGATTCAGAACAGACTCAATGGCACCTAACAATAACAAGTTGCTTACAATTAAGTTTAAATGATTTTATTGTTTTTAAAACCTGACCTTTGAAAGCAAAGTCGTGCCACATACTCGGCATAGGTGGCTCCTAGCTCAGGTTTTACAAAGACACCAAGTCCTCAATCCTACCAACGGGTGTAATTGACCGACTAAAAACACACCCATGTGTGCACACAGAAACAGTGCAAAACGCGCAGGAGAAGAATTTAAGATACTTTGTATATATGTCAGATATGAAAAAAGTTGAAGATACATCAAAGTTTTGGTGGGAGAGAAAGACCTCTTGGTTAGTCTGTTTTGTTCTTTGGGTTTTCTCACCTTGATACAAAGTTTTACTTAAACAACACTGGGACAAATGGCAGCAAGTGTACAATTCAGCTAACATCTCCAACAGTCTACACAGAGCCTTCCAAAAAGCCTACACATTCTTTGCAACCATCTGAGTAGAAATAAATTACCATGATATTAAAAGAGATGCTCATGAAATGTGTGAAGTTGTAACAAATGTAGAACAGTTTAAAATTGTATTTAAACGCCAAGTGTTTAAAAATTGTGTAAGAGTGTGATGGGATGAGGCCACAGAAGTCTTTTCAGAAATACAGAGCCTCATAAATATAGAATTTGTTTGTTGGAAGATTATGTATGTTTTATGGTAGAATTACTTGGCATTTTCAAGTTTGCATTTTAACTAAAAAAAAAAAAAACTAAAAAAAAATTAGTAGTTTTTGACACAAAGGATTTTAAGCATAAAATAACTGCATGATCCAGTCTTGACAGTTATCTATTTTCCACTGAAGAGGAAGCAGAAAACCATATAATAAATTCAAATGTGTAATAACTTTCTATGAATTTTGTTTCACGTTATCAACCTGTAGTGTTTTAAACCCAGATACCAAACTACTGTTAATACTATTAGAGTCAGATAAAGCAGAGTTTTCACATTATAGTCCTTTTGCAGATTGAAAATTTGGTTCCTCGTTAAGTATTTTATTTTTAGCATTAATAGATATTGGATTAATTAAATTAAGCTTTAGGGTTTTGGGGTAAAAGCAACAAACCTGAACGCAGTATACAGTATTAATCATTATGGAATGAGTTCCAAAATTGTTTTGGGGGTACAGGTAGCCGAAGGGAGCAAGAAAATGGGCAAGAATCAATGTTACTGGTTCTTAGTATCATCACTTAAGCAGTGACTAACTAGTACAGTAAGTAGGGAGCCAGACTTGCTCTGTGGCGTGGGCACACATGGCAGGAATGAGCCACAGATAGGCAGGATTCAGCTAAATGACTTGTACATTAAAAGGTAGCCGTTTTAATAATTCATACGGTTTCCTATGGGTCCCGGGAGTGCGCTACACAATTTGTCTATGTCATCTTATTTGTATTTCACGTTCACTGCGGTGTGTACTAATCTGCTTTACAGAAGACAGAACTAACACTGGGAGCAGCTGAGTACCTTGCTGAAGCTCTGCTGGTTAACAAGTGGATGAGCCAAGACCACCACCCAGCTGTGTCCCACCTCCTCCAGGATATTTGAATACTAACATCACATTCTGCCTTGGAGTTTATTGTTGACTGCTTTAGAACAATCATGTAATCTCTTCTAATCTCACCTAATTTTATGCCCACATTCAGGGCAATGGCAATAGTGGGCCATCCTGGAAAGTGCTGATAAATTGCCCTCTCTCCTTTCTGCTAGGGGTGCCCCTTGTTGGGGGAATGTTCCTGATAAACAGATTGCCCAAATCAAGTCCAGAATCAAACAAAAACTCTGGTCCATGTGGAAGCTTGTAAACTGAAAAATCTCCTTAGATACAGAGCTCTCTGAACCTTCTGTGTCAGGGCCTAGCCATACACACAGATGCCAGTTTATACATCTGTAAGTAAGGTCCATAGCAATGAAATGTCTGCTTTTCAAAATCTTCAGTTATCGGTTTGTTGGTTTACTAGCACATACACAAAATAAAATGGCTCCACTATTTCCTTCTTCTCAACCTCTGGGCATTTCTGCCCTTCTAAGCATATTTCTCTTGAATAAGACTGCAAATTATGCTAAAATTGGCACCATGAGCTAATCTTAAATTTTTGCAACTTGAGCAAAGCAGAAAAGTGTTAAGTCTTACAATAAGTTCAAGGCTGGACTTCAGCCAATCCAACTGCTATTCAAGTAGACAATAAATTTTATTAACAGAAAGTAAAAAGGAAGTTTATGGAAAAGAAAAATACCACGTTATTTGTGACGCAATGCCAGATACTTTTCAAAACAGTCCTTGCCTAAGAAGATTTCCAAGACATGTACAGCATCAGGTGAAACTACAACTGTTTAAAAGAGCTTCATCACTAAAGGCTCTGGAGATGATTTTATTCACAATCGGAAGTGATACATGGACCTGCTGCTATGGTCTGACTGCAAAAAGCCGGTCAAAAAATAAAGGTGAGAGCCTTCACCTCTGTCAGTTTCTTAAGACATAAGTCAGGGGAACTCCAGGATGCAGTGGCATCTGCCCCTACCCCATCATACACCCATATTTCTTACTTGATGCATATACAAGGGCCCCTCATGCAATATTCAATCAGGTCACCCCTCTATCAGCAAGAGTCATGAGGCATGTGCTTTCTGTGAGATTAACCAGAAATGAATGATACTTGAATATCCAAGAACATTTTTAATAAATAAGTCAGGTATTGTCATTCTTAACTTCATTGCTACATTGTGATTAATTTTAAGATTCTTTTCTCAGGCCATTTTCTCCTCCCACCCACTCCCTAAGATAAAAGAGAATGAGCCATTGGCCATGTCAATGTATTCAATGTTGGAGGTGCACTGAGACAATAGAGCCGTTTGTGCGGGGTAAGTAATTCACTCTCTGGTTTCTTCTAAGCAAGGTGATCCCAGTTACCAGAACTCTGTACCTGAGAGATCCCCAAGGACCAATACATTGTTATTGCTGTTAAGTGCCATGGAGTTGGTTCCGACACACAGTGACCCTGTGTAGGGTTTCTGAGGTGCAGATGTTGGGATTGAATCACCAAGCTTGCAGTTTGCAGTCTAGGGCTTACCCTACAGTGCCACCCCAGGACTCCAAAGACAGATACAGGTGTGTGAAAGAAGTAATGAGCTGTATATTTAATAAATTATAAACATCGAGTTATTAAACCAAAGGCTTCAAAGAAATGCGGGCAGGTCTGATGAAAACCAAAAGGTCATATGGGAAAAACAAAAACAAAAAACCTTATTAGTGACGTATAGAGCTTTCTTATGTATTTCTGGAAGGTGTTTCACAAATTGCAAACCATGGTTAACTCTGGGAAGTCGGACTGGGATGCAGAGAGAGTCCTTCCACGATAATTCCTTTATTTATGTGCATTTTCACTGCATGCGTGTACTGTTTTCAGAGTAATAGAAACAAAAAGACACATGGAAAAATAAAGTTTCCTAGTCTTAAGCTCTGGTCTGGGCTGGTTTATACAGAGTTGTTTGTTGTGAAGTGCTGTCAAATCGGTTCCAATTCATAGCAATCCTGTGTAGGGTTTCCAAGGAATAGCTGGTGGGTTTGAACCACAGACCTTGCGGTTTGCAGTCCAGTGCTGCTGAGGAGCTGAAACCAGATTTAAAGAATAACACTTGGCTCAAGATACAAAATTAAAATGGAGGTTCAAGGGATGAGTTCTCTTAGGAAACATAAACACAACAAAACACCTCTCAAAAAACACAACTTCTTTTTAAATAAATTAACTCAATGCTGGGAAGACTAGCTACTTAACTGTAGGAATTACTAATAAGTTAAAAACTGCGTCGACAGCTTTATGAGTACTGGCTTTAACAGTCAGGTAGCAGCAAGTACCTAGTGCTCAGTGAGAAACACACACCAGGCCGGGGCTTGTTTGCAGCCTCTGCTCCCAGAGACTGCTGGGAAACTGAATGCAGCTATTGTGCTGTAGAACAATCAGGTTTACTAAAGAGTGGTAACACAGGGAACATGTGCAGAACCAAATGTTTCACAGCCTAATGATTTTGTTCATGAACTATTTCCAAGGGTGACTCAGTATATGTTTTCTTTTTTAACCTCTTGGGATATGATAAATGTTGCTATCTCTTATGTTCAAATGTGAAGTTGTTCAATATGATACAAAACAAAGGCATTTTTTTTACTTGGGAATTTATCCTTGGGAAAGAAGGTCTGCCACATTTCCCATTTTGTTTATCACCTTCAGAGGCATCAGAGTTTCTGAAAAGGGCCCAGGAATCCCTGAATGGTGTAAACGACACACTTGGCCACCAACCAAACAGGTGGCAGCTCCAGTGCACCTAGAGACACCTCAGAAGAATGTCCCAGGACCTAATTCCAAAAGCCCATCATGGAGTACAGTCTACTCTGACACTCGTGAAGTCACCGTGAGTCAGAGAGGACTTGATGGCAGTGGACCAAAAGGGTCCAATTCTGTCCAGCAGCTCTATGAAATATGTGTTCTTGTTCTGACATCCAAGCTGCCTAGCCCATAACCAGGCCTTTAAGTGAAAGGTAACCCCTCCCAGTCAAACAGCTGTTGCGTACAGTAGAGTTCAGTAATCCTCTGTCGCAGTATGAAAGGCACAGAGGCACCCCAGGCATGCTGCAGCCTCTTATCTGCTTTGGACTGAAGACCACTTAAAGAAGACCCGATTCTGGCTTCCTGGGCCCTACCCTGTGATTCCACACATGTGTCCTAGTACTTTCAGGGCCAAGAGTTTAAAATGAGTGCTGGCAGAAAGGGAGGCACTGAATATGAGGGTCCAGATCAGTGACTGATTATTTTCGACCCCAGGGTAAACATTTCCATGACTCTTGTTTGGAAAGCCAGATGTGTTACATTTTTTCCTTTTCCAAAGTATTTGGAAGCACCCGTGGGAAATACTCGACATGTATCCTCCTACTCAGTGGGTTTATGGATAAGTAGTAATCAAGGAATCCTATGTGGGTTAATACAATTACTTTATAGATAGGATCGATGGACAAAAATCTCTTTTAGAAATAACAAAACTAGAAGATTTTGCTATTGTTGTTTACTACTGTCAAGTTGGTTCTGACTCATAGTGATTCTATATAGGATTTCTGAGGAGCAGCGGGGTGAGCTTTAACTGTTGACCTTGAGGTTCAAACCGACTTTACAGTCCAGTGCATTAACCCATAGCGCCACAGCAGGACTCCAGGATTTTAGATTAGTATTGAGCTCTGGTTGTGTAGTGGTTACAAGTTGGGCTATTAACCTCAAGGTCAGCAGATAGAAACTACCAGCCATCTGCCGGAGAAAGATGAGGCTTTCTGCTCCTGTAAAGACTTACAGCCTTGGAACCCCTATACAGGGTTTCTATGAGTTGGAACTGATTCCACGGCACACCACCACCACTACCACTAATTATTTATAAAGTAGCATTCTATTTTCTAACTAGATCATCACAGGATAATTCATTCTGTGACCTAAATTCTCTCCATGGGCACCAACAAAATGACACACTTCCTAATAACTGAAATTCAGTTCTTCTGAAAGTATAATCTCTTTCTGAGTTGTAGGATGCAGAGAAAATGAAGGGTACAGGGGTGCTTTGTTGTGACAATCTGATCTGTAAATAGAGAAAGCAGTTTAGAGAAAATTAAAATTTCCCCTTAGCCCCAGCTCAGCACATTACTGCTTCTCATTTGTATCTGAGCCAAAGTTCTGGTAACACCGGGCTCACTCTCACCTGCCCAGGGAGGGAGGGGCAGCAGCTGGGGTATCAAGTGCAGAAGGGGTGGCCAACAATGTTTGTCAAGAATCCGAGCCCTTGCTCAGAGTGACTGCTGCAGCCACAAAAGCCCCCAGCCCTGCTCATCCTTCAACACAGGAATCCCAAGGCCTTGGTGGGCTTGGGCAAGAAGCCAAGCAGAATGAGAAGAGATTCAGACTATACAATATTCCAAGCTGTTAGCACTGAGGTTTTATACAAAAATGAAAAAGTCTTAATGGTACCAATAGTAGCCTTTGGTTTATTAACTAAGGTCTATTTTTGTATTTCCTGAATGACTAATGAGGAGCTCTGGTAGTGTAGTGGTTACGAATCGGGCTGCTAAGTTCAGCGTCAGCAGTTCGAAACTACCAGCGGTTCCACAGGAGAATGAGGAGGCTTTCTGCTCCTGTAAAGATTTACAGGCTCGGAAACCCAGTACAGGGTTGCTGTGAGTTAGAACCGACTCTACGGCACATGACCACCACTACCATTTTTGTGGTGTTTGGCAACATTGTTGTTAAGTGTTATCGAGTCGTTTCCGATTCAGTGACCCTGTCTGTATAGGGTTTCCAAGGAACAACCAGTGAGTTTGAAATGCCAACCCTGTGGTTCAAACCGACCTTGTGGTCCAGTGTTTTACCTCATAGTGTCACACCAGGGAACATTGTTGCTGTTGTTGTTAAGTGTCGATTCCGACCCATAGCGACCCTATATAGGGTTTCCAAGGATCAGCTAGTGAGCTTGAACCACCGAACTTACAGTTCAAACGACTTTGCAGTCCGAGCATTAGCCCACAGCGCCACTCCTGGCAACATTACTAATCACTTAATATTATAATGTTAGAAACACATCTCTCTTGACATGAACTTTAATTTTTTTTTATTTTTTAAATCAAGTATTTTTATTAGGAGTACTTTGTTTAAAGTGATCCAAAGAACACCTGAAATTACTACTGTAAGTCTGGGGAATTTTTTAAAAACACCTCTTCATTGCTTCTATACCCTGTTGTTGTTGTTAGGTGCCTTGGAATAGGTTCCAAGTCATAGCAACCCTGAATAGGGTTTCCAAGAAGTAGCTAGTGAGCTTGATTCGTCGACCTTAAGGTCTATATATACATTAAGATACCAAATTAATGATGCCACTGATGACCATTCTGCTAAATGCCAGTAAAAAGAGACCTGACATTCTATTTCTGACATTGAGCTCAAAATGCTCTCTCTTCCTGGGGAAAATGGCCACCATTTGCGAGGCCATGCTACAGTGTTGGACCTGAGGCCCATGCATTCTGATCTGACGTATAAATTTGCATGCTAAACAAACTCTTGGGCATTTAAAACGGCAATCTGAATAATGTGATTTGTAGCAAGAATACAATCTCACACACAGCAACAAGCTGCTGCAGTTAAGCCAGACTAGTTTCCTGTGACCTGGCACAAACAGAGAAGATAGGGCACCTCCTCCCTCACGTAACGGTAAATCCCGCACAGCCTTAGTCTGGGCACACACCTGTTTTTGGTGTTGTCCCACATCTGTGTTCTGAAGCCGCAATCCACGAGCGCCGATCTCCACCGGACAGTGTTGGGAATACTCCCCCATTGTAAAACCGAGACCCCGATCATCACCTTCACCATCTGGCCCACCGCCCTTATGGTCTTCCTGGACTCCCAGTTCAGCAAGCTCAGGGAGGTTCTCTGGATGTTCACCCTGGAAACAAACACGTGATGCTCACAGCTCCACCCAAGGCCATGGCTGCCAAGTATGACTTTTATGACTTGAGAATAATCCACTTTAACAAAGACCTACTTTATGGTTTATCAAGTCCTGTACTTCTCAGTTCTTTCCCCCAAACATGTTCCTTTTGGCCAGCTCATCCATTTAAATTACAGAGTGGTTCCTCACTTTACTGGAAATTTTTTTTACTGTTTATAAGTTGCTATTATTTATAGCTATGGTTTTACAATTTAGAGGAAGAGAAACTCCTAAGTATTGATCAACAGACAACTTCACAACTATTTTTAATCATGAAGCAAAATTTTAAAATAGTTCATTCATAGGAATGTGGAAGAAGGTTGAATTAATCTTTGACGACTTTCCTTACTCTGAGGAAAGAGAATCACTGTGTTTCCCCATTGGTATGATGACTTAAACCTACATATATACTGTTTATCAAGGAGCTCTGGTTGCATAGTGGTTACGAATCGGGCTGCTAACCTCAAGGTCGGCAGCTTGAAACTACCAGCTGTTCTGCAGGAGAAAGAAGAGGCTTTTTGCTCCCATAAAGATTTAAAGCCTTGGAAACCCTGTACAGGGTCACTATGAGTCGGAACCGACTCCACGGTACTTAACAACAACAATACTGTTTATCAAAGCAAAAAACAGAAGCCAAGTCTTCATAGTGCCAGGGAATCGTGAGAAAACAACATTGCAAGGGGTGCAGATGCACTCAACTCAAAGGGCACCAGTGACTCCACCCCTATGGTCACCAGAGAACAAGGCCAGGAATGAGACAGGGAGCCACAGGTCACCAATCAATAAAAAGCAAAGAGCTCAGTCCTGTTTATGTTATGAGTCTGGGAATTGAGGATAAGAAGGAGAATATATACAGATTAAAGAGGTGGCAAAAATGTGACCCATCTAAAAGAAACCCTTAGAAAACTCTACCAACAGAACTAGTTCTAGCATAGAAATAAAACTGTAATAAAAAGTAAGGAGACAGTTTTAGAGTCAGGTTTTACAAACCAGCAATGATGAATGAAAGATTAAAGGACCTTAGGGTGGTAAATTAAATGAATACAGTAAATTAGCAACAAAGGCACTGGCAGCAAAACGCTGCTGCAGAATAGAGTTACAGATCAAAATTCTCTTAAAACTAGGTCAAAGTATAGCATGGAATTCTTGGTTTAATGTATGAGCAGACAACCATTTCCATTGCTTGGCTTGTTCTTGACAACATATTGTAAAATAACAGAACAAGATTCTGTGTGGGCAAGGGACAGCAGTTTCTGGGGGTCAAGAACAATAGAGCTCTACCTCAGTGAGATCCTCTCCTTCCTCTTCTATGTGTTTTCCTTGCCGCCAGTGTTTCAGCAGCCACCTGAGCTTGACGTAGAAGAGGAAAATGTTCTGCTTCAAGAACCGGAGCTCCTGCTGCATCAGATTCTTCTCATCACTCCAGCTCCGAGCATGGAGGGTGTTTTGCAAAGCTAGGCTGTGCACTTCCAGCTCTTTCCACCGCAAGGCATAGAGGTGTTCCTCTTCCATCTTGAATGGCAAAAAAGACAAGAACATGACAATGTGCCACCTAAACCAAATGAAACCAAGAGTCTCTGTAAACTGCCTTTCAATGTACACCATTTTACCTTATACTTATCTGATTGACCTGTAAAACATATATGTACTCCCAAATCAGCAGTGATTTTGAGATATTTATATTCTTAAGACCTTATGAGTTTAGTGATTCAGAAGCAAATGTCACTTCAAGATTGTTGTCAAGTGCCGTCAAGTTGGTTCTGACTCAGCACCCCTGTATAGGGTTTCCAAGGCTGTAAATCTCTATGGGATCAGAAAGCCTCATCTTTCTCTCAAGGAGCAGCTAGTGGGTTTGAACTGCCAACCTTGCAGTTAACAACACAACATGCAATCCAGTGTGCCACCAGGCCTCTACTTCAAGTTAAGGGTCTATTACAAACACTTTTCATTGTCAAATTATTTCACGATCCTTTGTTGTTGTTAAGTGTTGCCAAGTTGGTTGCAACTCATAGTGACCCTGTATAGTCTTTCAAGAGAAGCAGCCAGCGGATTTGAACTGTCAACTTTGTAGTTCGCAGTTCAGTACTGATTCTACAGAGCCACACCAGGAGTCCTTCACGGTTCTTTAGATATGTCTAAACACCTTCAGGAAAATTGCTGCTTAGATGTATAAATGACTTACATGTGGATTCCATTTCCCCTTTTGGCATACTGCTATTGTAGAGGAAAAAAGAAAGCCTCCCTCTTCGCTTCTTGTGCCCATGGCCTGACCAGAAGGAATCATGAGAAAACCAGGCTGCTCTATGGTCTCACTGAGCACTAGATCTAGGGCTGTAGCTACGAGGGAATTCTGCCCCAGGGCAGACGACTCTAGTATATACAGTGGTGAGCAACAAGTGAGTTTGAGAGCCATTTCCAAGCTTAATACTTAATATCAATGAGCATGCGCATCTCTTAGACAAATAAAAGCATTCTTCAACATAAATACTTTCCATCTAGACATTCAATCCCTGTTTTCCAACATCATTTGCCTCAATATTAAGGAAGCAAGAGTGTGGAAATAAAATTTTACTTTACAGATAAGGTCACAAGAACAATGCTACAATACGTAGATTCAAAGCTTTCTGTTCCACAGATCAAAAAAAGTATTAGGATGCCAGCCTTACCATTACCAGCTGTCCTTTCCTAACATAACACTTCTTTTGTGCCAAAACCAAAGCAGTGTTCTCGTTGTTTTCTAAAATACTAGATGAGTTGAGAGTGCCGGTGGTGTAGCGGGTTACACGCTGGGCCGCTGACCTCAAGAACAGCAGTTAGCCTCTACTAGCCACTCTGAAGGAGAAAGGTGAGGCTTTCTGTTGCCGTAAAGATTTACAGCTCAGAAACCTTACACAAAGTCACTTAGTCAGAACCGACCCGACAGCACACAGCAACGACAACATGAGTTAATTCTCAGAAACCTGATGCGTTTCCATGGTACCCTGCAGTCAACACCAACTGGCTTGTGTGCTACAGGCACCAGGGGTGTGAGAAACAGCTCTCAGAAAGCTGAGGGTCTTCACACCACAGCTTTGTTGTATTTCAAGCTGACCTAGAAAAACGTTGTTGTTGTCAGTTGCTGTTGAGTTGATTTGGACTCATGGAGATCCCGTGTGCAGAGTAGACTGTTCCATAGGTTTTCAGATGCAGATTACCAGGCTGGTCTTCCAAGCTATCTCTGGGTGGGTTCCAACTGCCTACCTCTAGATTTTCAGTCAATTGCTTAAGTATCTGTGCTGTGCAGGGTCTCCTAACAGAAAGTGTTGCTGTTGTTAAGTGCCATAGAGACCTTATGTAGGGTTCCCAAGGAGTAGTTGGTGGGTTTGAACTACCAACCTTGCACTTGAAACTTATTGTTGTTAAGTGCTGTCGAGTTGGTTCTGACTCATAGCGACCCTGTATAGGGGTTTCCGAGGAACGGCTGGTGAGCCTGAACCACTGATTTTGCATTTCAAGCCAACCTTATATTCTAGCGAATTAATCTGCAGCACCACACCAGAACTCCAACAACTGGTAGTTTTGAACTGCTGACTTAGAAGTTAGCAGCCTGATTTGTTACCACTACCCTACCTCACATGGAGCCTCACGTGAGGCTGCTAACCTCAAGGGCACTAGTAGGAAACTACCAGTTGTTCCTTGGGAGAAACGAGGTTTTCTGCTCCGGTAAAGATTTACAGCCTTGGGAAACCCATGCAGGGTTGCTGAGTTGAAACCGACTCCATGGTGCATAATCACCACCACCACCCTACCTCGCAACTTTACTCTGCACCTTTAGTGTGCGACTTAGGACCATCCATGTTTACAGACACAGCTATCTTTCAGGCAGCAACACAATTCTGATCCTTGGTATCGTTAGAGACTAATTAGCCCCAACATGGTCGTAGAGATTGGCCATTCCTCTGGGAGGCCTCTGGGCAAGTAGTTTTTCCTGTATCTGTCTATCCCTTTTACTAGGAACCCTGGGAAAGTATTTAACAGATACTGTGAATCAGCCCCTAATAGGTCATTCTGAAACAGCTAGGAGAATTAAGTCATAGCTCAATTAATGACAGTCTTAAAACAGACATTTTAGGGTGAGTTATGTCTCTATCAAGGGGCTCTGGTAGCACAGGGGTTACAAATTGGGCTGCTAATCTCACAATCAGCAATTTGAAATTACCAGCTGTTCCGCGGGAGAAAGATGAAGCTTTCTGCTCCCGTAAAGATTTACAGCCTCGGAAACCCTGCAGAGTGTTGTTATGAGTCGGAACAACTCCACGGCACACAACAACAACATGTTTCCATCAGAAAATTTACCTAACATTGGCAAGGCTTTCAGAGTTACAGGACAACCAAGGCTATAAATGCAACTTTCATATCCAGATGCATTTATTTTACTTTGTTGGTGGGTATTGCTGCAGGGGAAATTTAGAATAGTCAACAGAAAGACTGTCTGGAGACCCCACACAAATAGTGAAAAGTATTTCAGAGTTACATAAAGGTAGACAGCTCTCCTTATACGCTCTGACTTTTCGATTTTGTTCTTTCAGATACATCTTGCCATTACTCTCAAGTGGCTCTGCAGCCAGCTGAGCAGTGTGCTGAAGTCTGCGTCACATATTTACCTTGCGGATCATGTGTGCACATCTCTCACTCTCCTCTTGGTGCAGTCTGGTCACCTGTGCGAGCTGACCCTGGAGTTCCTCTACCGATACATTCTGCTCAGGTAAAACAGGGGGGCCCCTGAGCTGATTGGTGGATAAAGGAAGGGGTTTAGTGGAAGAGACTGCCTAAGGTGATGATGCCAGACAGACATCTGCAAAGCCAGAACACACAGAGCTACACGGTCGTGTAGGTGTTGCAGCAGTGGAGTGAGTCTGTGGCTGCTTCTCCAGAGTCTTCCTGTGGGAGATGGCCCCCACAGGAACCGATTGCCTGGGGCTGGGCATGCCCACCTGCTCTGCACTCCCTACCTAAAAGACAAGGGTCTAAGGGTGACTGTCACCTGAACTTTAGCAACAGGGACATAAGCCAGTCCTAGAGAAAGGCGAAGGAAGCCAAGATGCAGCAAAGGGTCCCTACTCCATAATGATCTCTAGAAAAATTTTCAATTTCTAGACTATTCTAGACTGGATGCACTAAAAGCATGATTATGACTGGGTCAAGTATGACCACTTGATACAAAATCAGCCTCTTGGATTCACTTCCCAAATGAAACTGGGTATTAATTTGTTCACAGGCTTTTTTATTTTTCTTGGCTAACTGGGAGTGCCTTTCTTTTATCACACAATCTCACCCCAGGTGCTCAGTGGAATTTGGGTGGGGCTCCCTCAATTAACAGACATTGCTTCAGGCCTCTGAATTATATACATTTCCTAAAAGGAATTGCACGAAGAGCTACTGGTTACATTTTAAATTGTTGTTGCTGTTGTTAACTGCCATTCAGTCATTTCTGACTCATAGCAACCCTGTACAGGGTTTCCAAGGAGCAGCTGGTGGGTTTGAACTGCTGAACTTGTGGTTCGCAGTCCAGTATTGATCCTATAGTGTCACACCAATGAAAGGAATCTTTTTTTAATTATTGGTAAAGACTGCCTTGTGTGTCCAAATGGCAATGACATACGAATCAGTTACTACTTACGAAACAAAATGTCATTTTTTTAAAGAGATGGAATAGGTAATGCATACTTCCTTTTGCATAGGAGGCACCGAATGAGAGCTCACAGAGAAGACCTTTCAGGTCTAGGAGAAAATGCTGAAACCTGGAGACTTACACTTTGTTATTATTAAGTGACATTGAGTCAGTTCTGACTCAGTGATCCCTATATAGATTTTCTGAGGAGTAGCTGGTGGGTTTGAACCAACCAAGAGGTTAACAGTCCAGTGCTTATCCTATAGCACCACACCAGGACCTTCCAGAAACTCAAACACTGAGAACCTAGAGGCTTGTTCGATTTGCTAGTTGTTAGAAACGGTTCGTGTCGTTTTTTATATCTAGCTGTTAAGCAGTAGTGTGGGCTCTCTTTGAAGACAGGCATTTCCCTAATGATCAATTTCTCATTTCTACAAGTACTATTTTATCATTTTTAACTATGTGTGGTTAGTTAGAATAGTTACTCCTTTCTCATGTTTACTGTGAACACAATGATGTGATTGTCTCCATTTGACATTTCCTGAAAGTCTTAGAATTTAATCCTATTGTTTGTCCTGTCTGTGGATGGTGCCTGCTTGTGCAGCTGAAGGTTGTCTCTGCAGTTTCATCTTCAATGGAAGTGATCTCTGAATATCATCTATGACTGGGGTTGAAAACGTGCTTGCACAATGGTTTTGTGTTTGCAGAAGCCAGCAATGTATAACAGAACTTTCTAACCTTTCTATTCAAAATTGGTCACATAAACTGTGAATCCAATCCAGTGTGCAGACAGGCCTGTCCTTACAGATCCTCAGGGTAGACTTTCTTCTTCTAATGCAGAGCTCCTGCTAAGGCCCACAGC